AAAACAAGGCCAACATCACTATTCCGTATGTCCAAGGAGTATCTGAGAAACTCCGACGGATCTTCCAAAACTTCAACATAGCCACTAACTTCAAACCTCACTCAACCCTCAGACAAAGACTGGTACACCCTAAGGACCGACTTCACAAGGGTACCAAGGCGAATGTTATTTACAGACTCAAATGTGAGGAGCCCAATTGTAACAACACCTACATCGGAGAGACAAGTCGACCGGTTAAAGTAAGGTACAAAGAACATTGCCGACCTAGTGCCAACGGCTACTCCTCAGCTATTTTCCACCACCTACAACACAACCAGGGTCACTCTTTCAAACTCGAGTCCACGGATGTCTTAGACCGCGAAACACGCTGGTGGGAACGGGGTGTTAAAGAGGCAATATATGAAAGAATGTACAACCCCACCCTCAACAGGGAAGGGGGCTACGGGTTGATCCTTCCGGCACTTGGGATTTGGCACTCCCAGCCCCGAGGACAGACAACACTTAAGCTCCTGTCCGGTATAACAGGAGCTTTCAGACTAATTTGCATCATCTTGTCTTGACTTGTCTGACTTTTGTTCCTTTTTCGACTTCCAAAAATTTGTCTTCACTTTATTTGCATATCAATGAACAGGTTGTGTATATACCTGCTTTCCCCTCTGGTCTCTCAGTCACTGACGAAAGCTAGTGGATACTAGCTGAAACGTCTGACGTTTTCAAAATCATATCCAGTTGCTTGAGTAACTTTTTTTTGGCAGTTTAGAGATTATTCTTCTTGACTGCAGAGACTATACGCTATGTCTCATGCATGAAAGGATGTCTAAATGTTTGGGCAACACTTCCAAATAGATTCTTTCATGAAAACCCGAGCTAAAACAATCTACGATCAACCGAAAGGGCATATGTACAGGTATACAGTTGGTTATGAACAGCAATTCCCTTGCAGAAAAAATTGAAGTCTCAGTCGCAGCTGAACAATTTATTGATAGCTAGTTCATTTTTGGCAACGTCTCAGGGAGGAGCCTTGTGTTCAGTTTGCAAGAATTCTAGGAAT